AGAACCAAGCTCAGAGAACACCAAGGACTCCACAGTTCAACCCTGAGCTACACATATTCACTTCTGTTGGTACAGTAAATGTTGGCAGCATTTGGCTAATCTTGCCTTGGTTCCAAAGACTGGGCCTTGCTAATACAAACATGGAAGCCCATGAGGAAAGACTAGGGCTATAGGCTTGACTGGGAAGTTGAGGATTATCCCAGAAAAAGGTAAATGGCAAACTACTTTTGTACTGTTGCTAAGTAAATGGCATGATGATCTTCATATAGTCACCAAGAGTTGAGCTTGATTCAAGCTGCATCCCTAAATAGCAGTAAACAAATTACAGCTAATCACCATATATAGTGATAGGAAGTTGGACAAATTCTTTTAGAATGGTATGAACAAAATCTTTTTCTCTGTTCTGAATCTCCCATCCATCAATATCATTGACTAACCCAATATTAAGAGAATGGGAGGAGGAAAACAAAAACAGTATTGGCATTCTCTATAATATGCATCATTTTATACAAGTTCATCAACCTGTATGAAGTTGTATTCCATATGTAATTTCAAAATTCAGGGCAGAATGTAGAAGCGGGTAGCTCTATTGCTGGAGGATATTACGTAAAGCATTTTAAGGTAAGGAAGGGCAGCAGAGGCAGGTGGTGAGCAGGAGATAGTGGGACTGAAGCTGTTTTCAGTAGGGTCCTCCCATGCCAGAAACAAATGAAAAGATGGCAATTTCTCCCATTCCACATACAAATGGGAGAACTTCTGAACTGGATAAACTAGGGTGGTTTCAGGGTGGTTTAGAGAGTCCAGGACAAGCAAAGCAGGATGTTGCTCCCTTTTTCAACTCCTTATGCCATCTCCGAACATCTACCATCTGAGATAACAACCAGATTTTCTCTAATGACTAGCCCTGCTCTAAGTTTCAGCTTCAGCAGAAAAACAGGAAGATGCTCTTTGAAAACAGTTAATTGGAGAAATCTCCTAGTCTGAAGCCACCAGTAAGAGTACAAATTACCTGATTCCAGGCAGTATTTAATTATTTTGATTTGCAGAAAATCTACACTGGGAAAAGATTGGCACCCATCATTTCCCTCATCTTTTCTTTCCCTGTTACCTTGAGGAAATGATCATCTATACTTTTATCCACTTCTCCTTAGTTCTTTCATCTTATTCGTTGTGTTTTGTACATTGATCTAGCAGCATCAGACTGATATCAGAACAATTAAAAAAAATGTGGACTTCTGTCTATGTATTTTAGGTGGTTTATGAATTTTTGGAGTGTGAGATGGGATAGAAACCTTTACTTTATACCCTTTCAGTCCCATGCTATGTTCCTTTTTCTAGAATTGTACATCATGTTTAATCAGCCAGTTCTTTCTAGCACCATAGTTTCCTGCAGAAAAAGTTGATAAGCACTCCAGGCTGTGGAGACAACTTGGGACTTGAACAAACATTGATAGTGCTGAGAATTTTAATTTCTGCCAAAAAGGGAGTTTCCTTTCACTTTACTGAAATATTTTCTTACTTGGCAAAATCTGTCTGCAGAGCATGAACTCAAGATCTCTAGAATTAGTCTGTGTTCTCCCAAATAGAACTATGATATTAATGCTGCTAGAAATTTCAGTAGAAGTGAAGGAGGGGAGAACTTGGCATCAGTTGTACTAGAAAGTCTCTGGGCAATTGACATTTCTTTAAATTCTCAACATTAGCACATGATTTGGCATCTCCATTTTGATCTGAAATCAGTGGAGAAATACTACTGAAACATCTGTGAATAAATAAGGCCAGTAAGAGCTCCGGGACAATGCATTTCAATGACATAGCACCAAAAGTAAGTTACTATTTTCAGTGGGTGACCTTCATTTATAGATTTTTATTAATAGCCACATTGGACATTCTCTTTGTTTTATATCTCAAAGGATATTTTTATATGTAGTGTGGCTCTGGCCATGCCCAGTAATCACATATAGAGCAAATCAAGGTCCTGGATCAAAAACTGTGCCAAATAATACAACTGATTTTGTATTCTAATATGGCGACTTGAAGACATGCATTCAACTGCACATCTATGCATTCCTGGTAGTCAGCATCCACACTTCATCTCTGATAACCTCCTAGTTAGACTGCTGAAATATACTTCATGTGGATTTGCCCTTGAAGATAACTCAAAAGCTGCAGCTGGTAGAGAATGTGGCAACAAGATTATTGTCTCTAGAAGACCTTGAGGGATCATATAATTTCAGTTTTAAGGGAACTGCATTGACTATCTATGCACTAGCGGTAGGAATTTAAGGTTTCAGGTCTCAGTTATTTGTATGAGCTCTTCTTCCAATATCTACCTGCCTGAACGTTCAGTGGATCCTTCTCAGCACTCTATAATTAGGAAAGCTAAGAGAAGGTCTTCTCTATCATGGCACTTTGATTTTTGGAATGTCCTTTCAGTGGGGACATGCTGACATCAACATTACTGCTTTTTGGCTCCAAGCAAAGACTGGGGTTTTTACTCTCACATTAGTGACTTAGTGTCTACAACCTGGCTGTGCCTAGTAAAAATTGTCCCTATTATTATATTGTAGCTGTGTAGCTAGGTATTGTTTATTTTTATTTCATTTTATTATTTTAGCTTTGCATTACATATGATTTTTCAGGATTTTGCAGTGTCATTTGTAAATTTAAAAAAAAAGGAAAGAAACACAAGTAAATACATTCAAGGATGTAACTATAAAAGACACATTAGAAAAAAATCCACACCAAAAAACATTTTCCTATGAAACAAAAGACTGTGGGTAGATAGCATGCACATAAGGAAATGTGTACTAAAATGTGGTTATTAGGAAGATGTACATACATGTGCACACAAATGGCTCTGCAAATGTTCTAAGATGAATTTGTAAACAAGGGATCTGTAAAAAAAGAAAATGATCAAAAATGCAATTGAAAAAGAAACCTACTCCCAGGATGAAATAAGATTGTGGGAAGCCATTTCTATGTTCACTAGTACATTAGCTCTTCATATAACTCCAACAATTATGGATAGCTATGAAGGTACCAAGGTGAAAGAATGTGGTGTAGTGGTTAAGGTGTTGGAGATCGGGGAAATCCAGTTTCAAGTCCATCTTTAGTTATGGAAACTCACTGGGTGGCTTAGTCCCAGTCTGTGGATTAGCTCCAGTCTGGGTTTAAACTCCCTCAAGTCCTTCTATGTTGTCTCATTGTGGTGGTGGAGGTGCTTCTGGGAGTCAAGAATGGACATCAAGAATATATACTCCCAGCAGGGTACCCAAAGTGTGAAGGTCATCCCAGTTGCTCAGCTAAAGTGACACCTACATTGGGCAGCAGCAGTATAGGAAGATGCTGGAGGTGGATGATCACTTCAGTGACAACAACAAAGGTATCAGTTCAGACCATGTAGGAGAAGGCAGTAGTAACCATTCCTGCATTTTATTAAGAAAACCACATGGCAGTGTGTATTATAAGACAGAGAAGACAACTAAAGTGGAAACAAAGGACAAGCCAAGAGAATGACCTGGATAAGGACTTTCTACTGAATATACAAAAGATGTTTGCTAAAGCCTTTGGGATGG